GACCATCCCGAGTCTAACAAGGTCTCGTGCACCATGTCATGTAGCTCGTACCGACCGTGCTCCATCTGCATGGTTACGAGAGACAATCTTCGGGACGTGGATGACGAGAGCGTTCCTCGAACCGTGAAAGATCAGAAAGCCGTGTACAAGCTAATGGAGGAAGCAGAAACCATGAAGGAATTGACCCGTCTAAAGAAGAAGTATTCAACCCACTTTGTGAAGGTATCACTTCTTGTCCGCTTAAGTTGATTAGGCTCCGTGGTCCCGAAGTCCCACCCCTATATCCTCCCACCGCACTTGGGTCTAAAATAAATTATCCCGTCCGCACTGCCCATTTGTCAACCCCACGCTCAACACACCCATGCCTCCACCTCAACTTTTGTCGCCACCTCCTCCTTGTGTTGGAGGTGGACACCTCGCCATGTTCCACCCTTGAACAGGCACGCTCCCACACCTCACATGATCCCGCCCTCGTTCATCAAATCCCTAAACCCCCACCCTGTCCTTGCTGTCCATCCTGCTCACACACATACCCTCCCCATACCCCGCCCATCCTAGTTCCTGGCACACAATCCCACCCTGGTCGTTCTTCTCCCTATTCTTCATCCAAATCCCCAAGGCGCCCTCTTTTCCGTTCTGCGTGCCTCCCCTTGCGGTCAGTCATTGCTGTGGGATTGGGAGTTCTCCAAAACCAAGTGGGGCAACACGTACCTCGCCCAAACACCTGACATCATGCACATCATCGAGGCAGGGCTTTGGCTTCATGCAATGAGGTGCCTCGTGAAGAAGTTGAAACCGTCAGAGCGAAAAATACTTCTCGAGTAAGTTTCCCTTTTCCCCCGGTGGGGCGAGAGTCATACGTGCAAGGGAAAGGGGCATCGAGGGGGAACCAGAGGGATAGAGAGGGGAAGAGGGGCAGCGAGAGGGAAGGTTGCACTAAGAGAGAGGGATATTGGGGCAGAGAGTGGGGAAGATGGTCAGAGAGACGTATGTTGTGGCTGACTGAGGGGAGGACGGGGAGGTGGATGGAAGGGGGGCAGCTATAAACGACTACGGGGCAGAGAGAAGGTAGGAGGTGCAGAGAGAAGTGATTGCGAGTCAGAGTGAGAGCACGCGGCGAGTGAAGTGGGAACTAGGGACGGAGAGAGGTAAGGAGGGGAATGGAGGGGGACAGTGGGGCAGAGAGAGTTAGGGAGGGCCGGGCAGAGATAGGGAATGCGGGGTCGAGAGAGGGTAGGAGGGGCAGAGAGAGGGACGTTGGGGTATCGAGCGGGAATGGCGGAATACGGCGCCTGAGAAAGTAAGCGGCAAAGGAGGAATGGCAGGTAGAGAGAGGGAAAGAGACAGAGCTAAGGAGGTACTGCGGGGTTGAGAGGGAACGATACGCACATAAGGAGGAATGGAGGGAAGAGTGAGGGAATTTGTAGCAGCGTTGGAGGAATGCGGGGTGGAGAGGGGGGAAGTGGTGCAGAAAGAGGGAATTTGGGACAGAGACGTTGAGGGAGGGGCTGAAAGGTGGAAGGAGGCGCTGCGAGCAGGAAGGTGGGGCTGCTAGCGGGAAGGAGGGGCATAGGAGGGGGGGGGGGGGGGGGGGGGAGGTCGCGTGAGGTGAACGCGGGATTCAGAATAGTGTATTCGGGGCATAGGGACGACATGGGGGTAATGTAGGGGTAAATTTGGGCAGAGAGTAAGGGAGATTGCGGCTGGGAGAGGGCAAGTGGGGCAGAGTGAGGAAATTGGGGGCATGGAGAAAGAAATTGGGACCGAGGAAGGGAAATTGGGGCAGAAAGAGAGAGAACGAGGGGCGGAGAGAGGTGATCATGGGGCAGAGCGAGGGAACAAGGGGCAGAGAGAGGAATGATGAGGCATAGAGGCTGGGGGAGTGGGGCAGAGGACGGAAAGGGATTCACTGAGAGAGAGGCAGCGGGGAGATGAGGTGCGATCTGATGCACCTAACTACAAGACCACCCCGCTAGCCCCACCCCTCCCCCGCCCCCCCTCCCTAACCCACCCCACCGGCCCCACACCCCCTAAACCGACACCCTTATTGCATCCCAGAAGTGCAGCCGCTACAAGATTGTCAAGGCAGCGACTCCGGCGTCTTTGCTGAGACTCCCATCCGCATGGGCGTACTTCACCACGACGGCCTGCTTCTCAGCGTCGGAGCACCGTGCCATGATGCAAGTGCTGCCCCTCATCATCGACCTCCCCAAGCGCGCCGATATTCGACATGCCATCACGATCATGTCGGACTGGTAGAAGGAGTTTATCCGGGCTGAGTATCACACCGATGCCACGCTTGAGCGCATGGAGGAGGTCTCCTGCGAGTAAGTCTAGCGTGAATGGGTGTGGGTGCCATGCACATAGGGAACAAGGGACAGTGAGATGGCTGAAGGGGTCGAGGGAGGGATTAAGAGGCAGTGTGTGGGAAATAGGGTGCATAGAACGGGGGAAGAAGGGAAAAGATAAGGAAAGGGGGGCAAAGCGAGGGAAAGAGGGGACGAGGGAGGGAAAGAGGGGACGAGGGAGGGAAAGAGGGGACGAGGGAGGGAAAGGGGACGAGGGAGGGAAAGAGGGGAGGGGGGGGGGGGGAACGATAGGCTGTGGACTGTTCCGCATGCGCTGAAAAAGGGAAGGAGGGGCATAATGACGAGAGGAGGGGCTTAGAGTGGGGGAATGGAGTGGCAGAAACATGGAAGCTGAGTTGTGAGTGGGTGGGGGGGGGGGGGGGAGATGAGAGGAGGGGGGAGGGTTTGAGAGAGGGTAGTAGTACATGAACCCGGGTATTGGGCATTGTCTGTTGTTTGTTGCTGAATTGTTGTTTATATGCGTACGCACGCTAAACCGATCCCCAACACCCAATGCCCCAATCCCGAACCTTTCAATCCACCCAAACACGTCCTATCCAGGATGGTCGATGCGCTTGTTCTAGCATTCGACAACCAGAAGTCGAAGTGGCTTATTATCAAGGTGCATCTTGTATCGCACCTCCCGCCGACGATACGTGCACGGGGATTGCCACAGGAGTACTCGTCGAACCGGTACGAGCAGTCCCACAAGACAACAGTGAAGCGCCCTTCTCGCGGCACCAACTGGAAGGGTGTGGAGGATCGCATTGTGAAGAAGCATATCGAGCAAGCCGTTGTTCGACAGCTGTCTCGAGCCTCCGGCGGGGACAAAACATACGAGACAGCCATGAAGGAGGTGAGCCTGTGTACGACCTAAGGCCGATCTTGCCCACCAATGTTCCCCGCCTGCTCCTGCCGCATGAAACCCTCGATCACCTCGTGTTTTTGTTTAGACCCTGCCTGTTCCCTTCCTCCCGCTGCCCCCCTAGACATCCCTTCTAGCATCCACGTGCTCACCATCATGTCCACCCATGAAATGCCTCTCCCGCTGCCCCCCTTGACATCCCGTTTTGCATCTACATGCTCGCGTTCTTGTCCACCCATCGCTCCTTCCACTAGCTGCCACCCTTCACATTCCGTCTTGCCCCACATGCTTTCCCACTTATCCACCCATGCCCCTCCCCCGGCCCCCGTGGGACTATCCGCCGTTCAGCCCCCAATGCTCCCCTACTAATCCACCATATACCTTCGTGCTGCTAAACACGTCGCCCCCTCGGTTCCCCCCCCCCCCCCCATCCTCCTCCATGTCCATCCCCGGCACTTCCCATTCCCTCCTGCCGTTTGTGTTTCCTTTGCCCTCCCTTGATCTACACTTGTCCGCCTATGCTCCCTCCTCTTGCTGCACCCTTTGACCTCTGGAACTGCCCCGCTATACTAACCGACTGGTCCCTAATCTTTGCTCCATCTCACTGCTGCCCCTGTTGTACTCAAGTGCTGCCTCTCTCCTGCTGCCCCCCATGTACACCATGCACCCATCACCCTCCTACCCAGGCTTGCACGCTTGGGCGTCGGGTGCTGACTAAGACACACAAGAAGATGACCGTGGGGCACATCACGGATGATGTGTTCAGGAGCTATGTCCTTGTTCACGGAGATGAAGCGATGGGCTACTTGAAGAAGCGGCTGGCCAGGGAGGGAATTCACGACCAAGTGCTCAATGTGAGAATCAATATGGTGCTCAATGCGGGAGTATCAATGTGAGAATCAACTGCCACTGCCACGTAGACCTGTTAAACGCGGGACATCAACCTCCTTAACTTACACAAACCCAGGCATGGCACCCTGTTGTATCCACGCACTCGTCAGCACCCCATTGTCTCAACCCTAACACAAACTTCCATTGTTGTGCTGCGACCCCTGCTTGCCTATTCGCAGGTGCACACTGCCATGGCAATCCCACCGCACGACAGGATGGAGTGGACCGAGAAGGGCCAGTTTGTCAAAGCAAGCCCTTCCGACAGGCACTTTTCAGATGTAGCCATAAATCCAGCTGGCAAAGGGGCCAACTGGTACGGCCGCTGCTTGATGCTGTTCCATTACGTTAAAGATGGCGTGGCAAAAAAAGCCGCCTACATCGAGTACTACACGGAGGATCGGCGAGTCTGCCGGTACACTGGCTGCAAACGACTGTTGCCCACGAAGGGCACCTTCAACTATGCAGTTGTAGATGCAGATTGCATTCTTGGCATCGTGCATGTTGTCCCGTGCTGCAAAGACCCTGCTGTGAAGCTGCTCAATAGGTTCATCTGGTGATGCAAATAAAGTAGCAACTATGTCAATTTACCATAACCTTTTTTTATTGTGAAACACGATTTTAAGCCACCTTATTATTGTCTCAACAATTAACATCTAACAAACATTCCATGGTAACACCGCGAAACCATTACTAAAACATCACCAAAACGTTTGGTCGGACAAGAATGCTATACAAACGATTCGTAGATGATTCCTGGATGATTGTCAAACGATTTTCTGAAGCTTGCTTAAAAAAAAAATGGTCAGATGATTTCCAGACGCACACATTTTTGTGATGATGGTGAGTGCTGGGATGGTGAGTGCTGGGATGGTGAGTGACGGATGGTGAGTGCTGGGATGGTGAGTGATGGGATGGTGAGGGATGGGATGGATAGTGCTGGGATGGTGAGTGCTGGGACGGTGAGTGATGGGATGGTTAGTGCTGGGATGGTGAGTGATAGTATGGTGAGTGATGGGATGGTGAGTGATAGTATGGTGAGTGATGGGATGGTGAGGGATGGGATGGTGAGTGCTGGGATGGTGAGTGCTGGGATGGTGAGTGATGGGATGGTTAGTGCTGGGATGGTGAGTGATAGTATGGTGAGTGATGGGATGGTGAGTGATAGTATGGTGAGTGATAGTATGGTGAGTGCTGGGATGGTGAGGGATGGGATGGTGAGTGCTGGGATGGTGAGTGCTGGGATGGTGAGTGACGGATGGTGAGTGCTGGGATGGTGAGTGATGGGATGGTGAGTGATGGGATGGTGAGTGCCCGGATGGGGAGGGAGGGAGGTGCTGTGGTGGGTCTAACGGTCTGTCTTGCTCGTCCCCTTTATGCTAAAAAGTCCAACGCCCACCACAGGAAAGCCTGTCATCTGTGGAGCTACCCAACAACGTTCGCACACCCGCACAACAGCAGTGGGTTAGAGACGAGGCGGCTGGAGTCCCTGCCGGAGCGGATGACAATCCGCTGAAGCTGTATTCAATGTTCGACATGGACGTAAGTATTTGATCCCATGCCAGCTGGAGTCGCCCAGTAGGCTCATAGACACAGCAACCTCTGGTGTCTATTGGTGTCGTGTGTTTCCCTAACCATCGCATTCCCTGCTGCGCTGTACCACCTGCACAGTGTGCTTTATGGAAGTGGCAGGTTGGTTCATTGCCGTGGGGAAATCCAATCCTAGCTGTCATGCCGGACATCATGCACCAGGCAGACCTGGGGATGCTGGACCACATCGTGCAATGCATCCGCGCCCAACACCCAACGAGGATGAAAATTCTGGATTTGTGAGTGCCCCTTGGACCACCCGCCTGGACATGCACGATGCTCTATTCAACAAACCATGGTTACAATGTTGGCATGATGTGCTCACATTTGTGAGCACATGGTAGTGTGTCAGCTAAACTTTACTCCATCCTGATCTGCCGCCCCCCATATCCGAAATCTTTACGTCCCACGATATGTAGGCGTCTTCTACAGCTCACCCTGAAAACACGGATCAACTCTTTGCATTTTCCGAGGAGCGAATACTTCAAAACCGGGGCACAAGTCGCAGCTTTTGAACATCGATCGGTCATGCAGGTATGATGCTTTGAGGCCTAAGCCATGGAGTGGTCGAAGGGGAGGGTGGGAAGAGTGGGGCAAGCTGGGCAGGGACGGAAGAGGAAGGGGAGAGAAGATGGGCTGGTAGAGAGGGCACCGCTATGTTGGTTCATGCAAATGTAGTGATGTGTCGGTCTGTTGTCAAGCTCGTCTGTAAACTCGCTTGAAGTCATTCATGGGAAGAATCCTTCAATCTTTTCTCTCACCTTTCCTACTCACCATGCTGCATGCATCCAGGTGTTGATCTTTTTGGTGGCTGACGTTGTCAGCTCGCCCCAGCTGGAGGCCATCAGAGCATACCTTGACTGGTATCTCTGCTGCAACGCCGCCTCTCACACTGAGAGAAGTCTTTCCGAACTACAAGCCAAATCAACAAGGTACCTCACCAAACGATACAACCTAAACCATCTAACTCCCCTAGTGATTCCGTCCCTTACAAATTGTACGCTCATCCGTATACTCCTTCATTTATTCATGCTCCCACCCATCCCAGGCTGGTGAAACTACTCACGGCTGCCTTCCCCGAGCAGAAATCAAGGTGGAACCTCATCAAAACACACTTGATGACTCATTTCATCCCTGGCATTCGACGAGCTGGGAATGTGCAAGAGTACAGCACCAACCTCTTCGAACACCTGCATAGCACCCTGCTGAAGCAAATCTACAGGAGATCGAATAGGCGGAAAGTGGACACGCAGATCATGAAGCACCACGAGATGAAGCTTGACACAATCAGCAACGTGGCCACCAACCAAGGCGTGCAAACAGCTATGCAAAAGGTAGGTGCTGTGAGGGGAGGTGCTGAGATGGTGAGTGCTGTGAGGGGAGGTGCTGAGATGGTGTGTGCTGTGAGGGGAGGTGCTGAGATGGTGAGTGCGGTGAGGGGAGGTGCTGAGATGGTGAGTGCTGTGAGGGGAGGTGCTGAGATGGTGAGTGCTGTGAGGGGAGGTGCTGAGATGGTGAGTGCTGTGAGGGGAGGTGCTGAGATGGTGAGTGCTGTGAGGGGAGGTGCTGAGATGGTGAGTGCTGTGATGTGAGGGGAGGGTGAGTGCTGAGATGGGAGGGTGAGTGCTGAGATGGTGAGTGCGGTGATGGGAGGGTGAGTGCTGAGATGGTGAGTGCGGTGAGTAGGAGTGCCTGGCGGGACAGCTCGGGCTGGGTGGCATGGAAAGTTTGCCGGCAGGTCCTTGGTGGGTAGCAGGGGAAGAGTTAGCTCAAGGCAGGGGAGGGGGCAGTGAAAGAGGAAGTGCAGGGCAGGGAGGGGAGCAAACGAAGGGGGAGAATGGTGTGCTTTTTTTCCAATCTCTGCCTTTTCTGACACGTGTCAGGCCATCGAGGATGGAGCTCGGGTGATGGTGAAGGAGTCCTACTTCTTCCACGTGAAACCCGATGACGTCACTCCCATTGCCAACTGGTTTGTCCGTGAGTGGGCGAAGCTCCACAACGAGGCACACCATGCCTTTGCGGGTGCATTGCTTCGACGCCAGCTGAGGCCAACGAAAGTTCGTGTAAGTGGTGACAATGGTGACATCAAGCAGATACCATATGTAACTGAATGTTACTTTGTACTGATTTGTGTCTCTTACTGGTTGCAGGCTCACACAACACTTGCCATCCCTGCTGCAGAAGATGCGAGTTTCGCCCGTGTAGCACATTTCGTGAAAGCAACCCCGCTGTCTCACTCTAGGCCGTGGTTCTCTGATGTTGCCATCGTGGGAACAACAGCAACAGGTGCAGAGACGGAGTGGTACGGAAGGCTCTTGTTGCTGTTCCATACGAAAGAGAGAGGGTGCACGAAGGAGTGGGCATATGTGAAGTACTGGTCAAGCGCAGGCGAGGATGCAAAAACAGGGTGCAAACGTCTTAGGTGGGCAACTGGGGTATCGCGCTACTCAGTGATTGACACTGAAAGCATACTGCGCCAGGTGCACATTATCAAGTCTTACCACAGCGACAATGCATTCTATCTTAACAAGTACCTGCTAAATTAGATATAAATCCTACGCGCATCTGTACTTTTTCATAGGCAACCAAACCTGTTTTGTATTAAGAGGCAAGATTACATGCAATAACAACTTATGACTTTACAGGTTATATATGTACATGCACATGTGATTGTTTAACCAGCAGCCTTTCAATATTATAAGACATAACTTTGACTTGATGTAAAATTTGTTTTAAAGAAACACTGTAGGCTCATCTTGGTCCATAATTACTCCTATGCGAGACCATTTTTGCAGTGCCCAAACGCACCCTATCGCCACGTCTGGTCGTGCGCCAAGCAAAGCTGTGGCTCGGTGACCCAGAAATATTTGCGGGAAACCAATGCACCCCATTCTCGAAACTGCTTTTTCAACCTGGTCAAAAGAGCACTGTACACCTGACATTGACCGAAATTGGGCCAGTTTTGCTTCGCCGAGGCGCACAATCTCTCGCGAGTCGGTTCGGATGCGCGAAAGCAGATCGAAATTTGAGAATGACACATTTACGCTGGTGGTTGGGCGAAATTGGTTGGACAACCCACGCAACCCAACTTCCGAAACCAATTCGACCCGTTTCCAAGCGATTCAAAAACGAGGGGTTTTTGTGATGTATTGAGTGAGTGAGGGGAACAGGGCTGCATGATGCTTCTGACTCACTGGTGGGAAATGGGGTGAAGCGAGGCTGGAGGCCTGCTGGGTGCCCCATAGCAGTCTTCTTCCTCAAGGTCCAGTAGTCTCAGGTCAGTCTTAGGTGAGTCTCAGGTCAGTCTCAGATCAGTCTCAGGTCAGTCTCAGATCAGTCTCAGATCAGTCTCAGGTCAGTCTCAGGTCAGTCTCAGGTCAATCTCAGGTCAGTCTCAGGTCAGTCTCAGGTCAGTCTCAGGTCAGTCTCAGGTCAGTCTCAGGTCAGTCTCAGGTCAGTCTCAGGTCAGTCTCAGGTCAGTCCCAGGTCAGTCTCAGGTCATTCTCAGGTCAGTCTCAGGTCAGTCTCAGGTCAGTCACAGGTCAGTCTCAGGTCAGTCTCAGGTCAGTCTCAGGTCAGTCTCAGGTCAGCCTCAGGCTGACCTGCCCTGAGGCTGAGTGCCCTGCGCCCTCTCTCTCCCATCACTCACTGGTCTCTCCCAGTGGCCCCCTTTTCTCCGATCACACTCCAGATGTGCATAGTGCAACCGTCGCTCTCCATCATTGTTCCCCCATCTCCCTCCCTATATACGGTTCAATCTCCACTCCCTTCCAGTTCCATCCCCTTCACCCCTCCCCCGTCCCCTTCCCCTTTCCCCATCCCCTCCCCCATCCCCGGCCCCTTCAACGTCCCCTTCCCCGTCCCCATCCGCATTGACATCCCCCCTTCCCCCGGTCCATAGCACAGCCAGCAGCGTCCATCACACTGGTCCGATCTGCCTACATCGCGAAATCTCTTGTGGGCACAAAATGTACACGGTAGCTTTTCTTGCGGAAAAGCTGCGGAAAACCTTCGGAAAAACACCTAGGGTGAAAGTTGCGAGAATGTCACCTATATGGCGCAACAAAACAGCTACGGAAATGTCACTTTCACCCCTCAAATGTGCACACCCACTTGTGTCTCGCGTGTTAAAGAGCGTTACAGTGCGGTTTAGGGAGTTAAGGTTGGTGGCAATTTTGCACAGCTGACGAAATGTTACTTGTGTGACCGAAATTTCTCCGAGCTGAAATTGAAACGACCAATCAACAAGCAGCGCGAATGTTACACGCCAACTGTGTTTCCCGAATTTCGTGGTAACGTCGCCAACCAAAACTCTACTGATTCAGGAATCAGAACCACATCTTGTGGTTCTGAACCATTCGATGTGGGAAACAAAACTGAGCCCACCAATCAGCATGATTCCTCATCTCCACGTCAGCTTTGAACCTAGAACCTCTCGAATGTGCTCCCAACCAACCCCTTCTTCTACCTCCTCCTAGCTTTGTGTCTCATTTTCTGCTCTTGTTCTTCTCAAAACTTAACGTTTTTCTCTAGTTACTAGGCGCGCTGCTCTTCTGTGCATCAATCTTTTCTGCCTCGATCAGATCCGTCTTCCCTAAGTATTCTCGTTTTAACCTAAAGTCTTATTGCGTCGTTTTTTTTTTCTCCTTGTGCCATTGTCCAGGTTGAAGTCCAAATTCAACTGGAGGTCGGGAGCCATTTTACAACCGTACAACGGGTGTAAATGAGTCACTGAGACGGTCTTTTATCGGTACGTCGATACCTTGTTTCTCCTTTTTGTTGTTGTTGCCTAACTCATGACGTACCGTGCTGTGCACGGAATGGAGGGCAACGCTGGGAGTGCGTTCTCTCTTGGTCGAATTATGCCGCTTTGTGTGCAGATGTGTATTTTCTTAACGTCGTGTGGTGCGCTCCTCATTTGCGCGACCTTGTATTAATGTCGATGTATTTCGTAAACATGTTGACTTATTAAACGGCACATGCATTCGTAGTCCACTGCGGCAAACAGGTAAGTGGCCGCAGGTATGTCTACTACTACATTTGTTCTCGCCTGGCTAACATCAGATTTTGCAGGTACTACTCCCTGTCTTGGATTGTGTTTCTGATTTTACGTGTGTTTCAGAACTCCAGGCTCAAGTGGTTGAAAGGGCGTAAATGTTTTGATTCTGTTGAAGTACCTGCAGTTAGATTATTTAGTTGTGCCAGATCATGTTGATTATGGTATTAGGGCGTTTTGTCAGGTCTGTTGTATAAAAATGTACTTATAGTAACATAAATTTCTATGTGTACATGCTGAACTCAACTGTCCCTACAAATTGCATTGCATGCGCCAATATGCATCACGAAAACTGATTGGTCCATGTGGCATTTGTCCATCCACTATTCACCTTGACAGCTGGCAGGAAATATCTACATACGTGGCGTTCAGGCGTCCACGTGGCAAAGGGGTGGCAAAAGTGACTTAAAGCCCAAGTCCTTCACACAAATGTCACTTCAGATGTCACCTTTCAGTTGTGTTGTGTGGTTGCAATATGGCCATTTTTTTGTCGCTTTGTCGTCACTTTTCCGCAACTTCGAAAGTCACCCCGCCACAGAAGCCTTTGACCTAGACTTTTTTCTTGCGAAACCAAAGTTGCGGAAAAGCAACTTTGAAGTTGCTATTCCGCAACTTTTCGGGCCTCACACTTTCGCGATGTATCCTGCACCCGCCTCCTGCTGTCTCCCTCTCCCTCTGGCCACCTGTCCCTCAAATCACCCACCGGATATGCATTCTTCAGCCAGAAGCATCGGCAAAGGTTGCTGTTAGATTGCTTTGTCAGGTTACATGCCGAACGTCTTTAGTTTCACGAGATGTGAGCTACAAACCAGAAGCCTGGGAGATCCGTATGCTTGCGTCAACCCATTACACCATTGCCCTTGCATTGGCACCGACTCTCACTGCCAGTAAACAAGTTCTGCAGGTTATTGCCCTCCCTGTCCCCACATATTCCCAACTCCCTTAGCTGCACGAGGCACGACCTGCAAGCCAGGAGCCATGACTCACAATTCAGGGCAGTATGGGACAAGTCAGGGCGGTATGAGACAAGTCGGGGCATATGAGACAATTCGGGGCATATGAGACGAGTCGGGGCATATGAGACATTTCGGGGCATATGAGACGAGTCGGGGCATATGACACAATTCGGGGCATATGAGGCAATTCGGGGCATATGAGACGAGTCGGGGAAGTATGGTTGAAGCGGGCATGGTGTGTGAACAACTCTGGCCAGTGTAAGCATTGCTCCCTGCGTTCAATGCAGAAGGTTTAAGGTTGTTACCTTCCTCAGTCCAAGTTGCTCTGCAGTCAGGATAGTGTTCTTGCCACCCAGCTGAAATCTGATCGCCACTTCCTCAACTCATCGGCCTTACCACCAGCAGCACCACCACCATCCATCGCCATCACTAGCAATCCATGTCTTACCAATGAATCTCCCTTCTTGACTGTGACTGTGACCATCTCGCTGTGCTAGCAGGTGCAACGGGTTGCCATTAGGAAAAGCTTCCCACTATATTTCGTGTCAACTGCCATACTGCAGTGTTGTGCGACTACAAG